TGTTACAGACATTAAACATTTTAGTGACGATTAAAAACCTACATGTTATAGACATTAAACCTTTTAGTGACGATTAAAAACCTACATGTTATAGACATTAAACATTTTATTGACGATTAAAAATCTACATATTATAGACATTAAACATTTTAGTGACGAATAAAACCTACATGTTATAGACATTAAAACTCATGAATGTGTACCAACTCATATTATTTCGGTAACTGAGAAGCAATGAAAAGAAAACTCACTCCATTTCCTCTCCTGATCTGTACCAAAATCGGACATGTAATTTTCATCTAAGCTCATTTTACAAAATTATACTTTTAATATTTCCTTAGTAAGAATTCATAATTTTTATTTCACTATGGTTAATTTTGGATATTGTTTTATAAAATAACCATAACGTCTTTTACATTTAACTTCCCACTCTACGAACTTATAAAACTGGTTTTGTTCATTTTTTGATTTCTTTTCTATGTTCTAGGAAGAATTGGATTTGACAGCAGCTAAGCGAGAAATCATGTTCAGTTTACCGCCAGAAAAGAAATGGCAGCTTTATCTAAGCAAGAAAACGGTAGGTGTGGCCGCCCTGATTAAGGATATTAAAAATCAAATTAAGCACTCCTACAGATTGCCTGACTGAAGCTTCCTCGTTCTGCTATAAATTTTTCTTTCCTCATTGTTATCTCGCTTTGGTTGCCATTGCTCGGTTAGCGGTATATTGCTTTGGTTGTGGTGTCTGATCTTAGTTAGGGCTTAGTTCGTACGTGGATGAAGTAGCTTATCTACACACGATTGTCTTTGAATCCACAGAGCTCAACTCGACAAGAAACAGCAGTAACTTTATTATGGAAGACATGTAGTATTGTTTATTGCCAGTTTTTATTGGAATAAGATTTTTGACAGAAATCAAATGACTTCTTACCGAAAATGATTGCCTATACTTTAGAAGTAAAGATATTTTCTGTCGATGAAGAGTATAGCTCATGAAATTATAATTCCGACTGAATCTCTTGTGAATGATGCCTGGGTTATATATATATATATATATATATAAATTATTGCATGTTCTAATAATTATTATTACTTATTTATAAATGTTGTCTCTTTACGAAACTTATGTTATTGTACTTATATGGTCATTTAGATGAGCTTGTTATGTAAGCAGGTCTTCTGTTTTGTTTTTTTGTTAGTTTTTCTGTGGAATTCGAAATCTCAGTTCTGTAGTTAATTATTAAATTCAACTCCCAATACACATCTTTCTAAACTCACCAGGGGTACAGCGGTAAGTCTGAAGACTTATAACGCTAAAAACCGAGTTTCGATACCAATGGTAGATACAGCACAGATAGTCTATTGTAGCTTTGTGCTTAACTACAAAGACACAAATTGTATATATATGTCACGCATGTACGCAGGGGGAGTTCAATCGAATCCCCTATTTTTGTTATGTAAAAATATTATGCTTATATAGTTATATCGCAGCTGCTTATGGTATTTAACGTTTCCTACATAGTATACATTCTTTTAATGAAGCATTAGCATTTTTTGGCTTGAAATAGTTGCATGCAATGGCTTCTGTTGACACTTTGTAATTGGAAGTCCGAAGCCGTATTGCTACTGTCAGGTTTGTAAGCCGGAGTTTTTTTACAGTAGGTGTCTGTGACTTGTTGGCGATAAATTTCAATAAACAAACAGCAACACAGTTCACTTGTTTTATTGAATTAATATATTAAAACAAGTCAAACGTGTATACAAATGCTCGTTACACTATTGGTTATCACAGCTGTATCCAGAGCTACAAATAATTGTCTTTTTTTCATCGAAATCCACACAGTGTGATTCAATTACTTTATAACACATTTGACAAGACGAATTATTCTCCTCTGCTTTGTTATTGCAATACAGTCTGTGATAATTTCGCTTTAAAAATCGCTTTTATGTGCTATTTATCACTAAACTCACAACTACGCAGTCTAGATCTAATAATAATATTTCGATGCGTACGTATGATGATTCAAATAGCTAATATACTGTTGTTGTAAAGAGTTGTTTAAATTAGTAATATAATTTAATCATTAATACCTACTCTGTACAGTACTTTATTATAATAAAACATATATATTTATGCTAATTTAAGTCTAGTTCCTCGTGCAATGTTACAACAGAATGATGATTCGTTGGTTTTTCATTGGATATTTGTGGATGTTGTGTGAATAGCCATGCAATTGTTTAAGCTATATTCCATGCACAATTGCTTCCAGATTTAATCTCATAGCATATACATATATGGTTACAAATATTCTGGGGGAAGCATGTCTCCAAACCCCCATAGCATTGGCGTATTTTGCATGCCGATTGTGCTTCGCACAATATATGTTGGCTTTTGATCTCACAAATTAGAACCCTTTTCAGACATTGTGCGGGGGCATGTATGTATGTATGTATTGGATTTATAGAAATCTGTCAGAGCCGAGTATGGTCTAGTAGTAGCATGCCGAACTATGAACCTGAGAATCCATGGTTTGCGTCCTGTTACCGCAAACATACTTTTCGTACGTGCGTATGGTATAAGAGTGAAGGTCAAATCCTACCATTCTGTTCGAGTAGGCCAAGAATTGACAATTGGTGATGTTGAGTAAATGTCTTTCGGTTAGTCTATTAATTCGAAATAAGGAACGGCTAGCGCATATAGCCGTTATGTGGATTTGCACCAATATCTGCAGCAAACAAACAAATATATTTGTAATTTGTCGTTTACTAATAAGTATTTATATATGTAAACCGCGCTTAATGATAAAAATAAACATTCCTTTTTCATAGGAGCAACAAGAATCGTCTTCGGCACATTTTCCTGACTATTACGTGGAGAGGGTAAATTCAATGTCAATGGTAAGTTTTACATAACTTTAAAGCTTCGAAGATTATAAATAACCATTATACACTAATTTTTATTTTAGTAGACAGATTAAGCTCTTATTCTGAACCAATAGAAATAACACAGTGCGTGTTTTGTGATGAAGAAAGCTCTTATTCTGAACCGATAGAAATAATATAGTGCGTGTTTTGTGATGAAGAAAGCTCTTATTCTGAACCGATAGAAATAACATAGTACGTGTTTTGTGATTAAGTAAGCTGTTATTCTGAGCCAATAGAAATAACATTGTGCGTGTTTTGTGATTAAGAATAGCTCTTATTCTAAGCCAATAGAAATAACATAGTGCGTATTTTATGATTAAGAAATCTCTTATTCTAAGCCAATAGAAATAACATAGTCCATGTTTTATGATTAAGAATAGCTCTTATTCTAAGCCAATAGAAATAACATAGTCCGTGTTTTATGATTAAGAATAGCTGTTATTCTAAGCCAATAGAAATAACATAGTGCGTGTTTTGTGATTAAGAAATCTCTTATTCTAAGCCAATAGAAATAACATAGTCCGTGTTTTATGATTAAGAATAGCTCTTATTCTAAGCCAATAGAAATAAAAAAGTCCGTGTTTTATGATTAAGAATAGCTCTTATTCTAAGCCAATAGAAATAACATAGTCCGTGTTTTATGATTAAGAATAGCTGTTATTCTAAGCCAATAGAAATAACATAGTGCGTGTTTTATGATTAAGAAAGCTCTAGGAGATTATTCTTTTATTTTTTATTATTATAGAGAACATTTCAAAGCAGCTGGACCTAACCTAGAAAATCTTGTCTATATATTCGAAAATCAGAAATTTTCATTTAACGACAAGTTGATGAAATGTAGTAAAAAACAATCTTTTTAATCGTCACTAAAATGTTTAATGTCTATAATATGTAGGTTTTAATCGTCACTAAAATGTTTAATGTCTATAATATGTAGGTTTTATTCGTCACTAAAATGTTTAATGCCTATAACAAGTAGGTTTTTAATCGCAACTAAAATGTTTAATGTCTATAACACGGGTACGTGATTGTATGAAGTGGGTACTCTTGTTCTTCTCTATCATATGTTTTTAGATTATGCGTGTTACTAAATACTGAATCGAACACTTCTTTCTTAATATTTTAGTTTTCGTAACAATAATAACACTCGTGATTCTGCCAAATTCTGATGACACTGTTTTATTATTTTGAATATTTTTGAAATCGAAGATCAAATTATGTAAAATTGGCGACACAAATTTGCAGTGAGTAATACTGAGATAGACAGCAGTCTTTGTCAATGAAGTTTGTGACTTCAACTGATACTGTGTTATACTTTTATCATCTGGCGAAACGAATTGGTAAAAGTCAAAGCACGTTGAATTTTATTGACGTGAACCACAAAGTTTTAATGAAATTATATAAAGTACTTATTAGAATCTTCATTCCTGAAGAAGAAGTTTTTTTGTTCTGGCTTATATTTCCTTCTCTCTCCGTTTTTTTCTTTCTCATTTATCAGCTTGTCTTTTATATATCTTTCCACAAACCACACCAAACAGGTGTGTTTTCTTTATCCTCGGATTAAAACGTTTCCTAATCACAAGGGTGCTTACATCTCCCAAATCCGCTGAATTTAGAAAGGCGGATCTTATCCAATAATTCCCTAACCACTTTGTGCTGTAATCTCTTAATCAGATAGGGACTGACCTAAAGTCGTGCTCTTTCTCATCTTTTTCAACCCCAGCCGATTCTTACATAGAACTACATAACACTCAGGTGTTTATATTCTTAAATAAAAGTTGAAATTCACTATTCTATCTAACAAAAACACCATCGGCAAAAAAACAAAAACAAAAATAAAACTTTTAATAGAAGATCTCTTTAACTGTTTTTTGTTCATTAAAACTTCTGTAACGTGTATACTAAAACCTATTACTAAAAGTCGACACAATGAAACTCAAGAATATGTTATAAATTGCATAAATTAATTTGTAGCTCTACTTACTAGTTAGTATCTTGTTTCTTAAGTTAAATATATATACATAATCGTCTTTTAGACAAGTTAGTTTTGACACAATACAGTTCGTCAAAATTACTTATTCCTAGTGATGAAAGCAACTGCATACATTGGATACTTTTGTAAAATTATAACACACTGTAATCAAGACCCATAAAGTGACCACTAAACGATTACACCAGTCAACAACAACAACAAAGCACTTTTCTTTGCTACTAGAAAAAAAAATGCAACTGTTTCTGAGTAGTTTCTCTATGCTGATTCTAAAAACCATGTTGAAAATCCCTGATCGCCTCTAGTTTTCGAGTTATGATACATCTATTCAAAATATTCTTATATACATCGTGAAAATAACTTTTCTGCCATAAATTTATTTATTCATTGAAAATTGCATTTTAGAATGTTCAAAAACAATACCAGTTTAGAAAGTAATGAGTATAATAAGATTATATTCTGAAAATAAGTTCAGGCTATGTTTGAAACTTTCATCATGGTATTAATTTTTACTTTTTGTTGCAAAATATTTGCTTGACTTGTTGCATCTTTTGCTTATGTTCTCAGTTTCACGCTGTAAGAACCAACAGTAATCTCCCGTCATCGCAGGATTCCATTGTTCACTGTAGAAATATCTTGGTGGAAGCGATAATGATGCTCATTGCACACTGCATCTAGATCATTTGGAAAGAAGTCTAAATGGGAGTGTAAGAAGAGCATCTTTAGTGACATTCTAGACCCCATTTTTCTATAGTTCTCGAATATATTATCAGTCATCAGAGCATAGTTTTCATCACTGTGAGCTCTTAAGAAATTTTTGACAGTCAGTTTGAATGATTTCCGGGTAACAAATTCTTTTTGATTGAGTACTGTTTCAAATTTATCATCCATAAGCACTTCCCAAATCTGTGGCCCAACAAAGACACCTCCTTTGATTTTTGTTTTACTGATTTTTGGAAACTTGTCAGGCAGATATCTGAAACCATTACCATTTTTGTTCATTCTTTTTACAAACTTCTTCATGGATTCCAATTTAATAGGAAGTTGGGGCAGAAACACATTTTGAGGGTTCACTAAAGTTTGATACTCGATATTCTATTTCCTTGGTATGTAATTCTCTTTAACTGGTCATTTGTTCTTTTTGAAATGATTTGTATTATCTCTGCTGTCCCAGAGACACAAAAAGCATTAATGTTTGGCATATCCACTCTGGATACCCAGCAGGAGTGTAATAACTTTTAGAGCACCACATATATTTCACCTATGATGAATATATTTCATGGCCTCAAGTGTAATCTGCATGCTTTGATAAATTTCTCTCGTGTTCAGAGCATGAGCAAAAGGAATCGATGGCTTAGTGTTCCCATTGTGTAAAAGTACAGCTTTTAGACTAACTTTAAATGAGTTGAAAAAAGTCTCCATTTTTGAGAATGATGTTCAGCACCTAATTCTTCCATTAATATATCAACATTTGTACAGAAACAGAAAGTATCTTGCATGCTGTAATGAGAAGCAAGACTTTGATGGTGAATTCGGTAAATTGAAACTCTTATTCCTAGAGCTAATAAATTACATTCCTGTAAACAAGAGCCAAGAAATTCCCCATGCTGCTTTGATAGAGACAAGTCACGAATCAGATCATTTAGTTATTTTAGTGTGATCAGATGAGGCAGTTTGTGTTGAGGCACCACAGGAATAGAATTACTAGATGAAGAGGATTCATTGTCTTCTTCACAGGATAAGTCTTCTGTTTCCTATTTCACTGGTGGATGTGGCAGTGGAAGACAATCACCATCAGGTACTGGTTTCATTGTAGATGAAATATCTGGATATTTAATGTATTGTTTAGGTTTGCCTGAATATCCCAAAACATTAGTTACACAAAAGTAATAGTCAGTTAGACTTTCTTTGGGCTTACATCATATCATGGTATCTGCAAATGGTATACTTCCCTCTTCTTATTCAGCCACTGTGTCAAGCCAGATGTGCAAACTGTACAACACTCATGTGGAGCCCAATGTTTTTCTTGGTCAACAATTTTACACCAAAAATAGTAGAAGTAAGCTACTTTTACCTTATGTGTCATTTTTTTCTTCACAAATCTAGCCAAAACTATTTGAGTGATTTTTGCACTTTCGGACTTTACTGGAACTGGAGGTAGCTGGTATTTCAAATGATTTTCTAAAAAATCTATAAAAGAATTTATGTTTACATAACTAGAGTTTAAAATGTTTTGAAAACATAGTTTTGCAGAATTTGATTATATTTCGGGTATGATGCGAGGAAGAAGATCAGATTTTGTTTTGACTGTGCGCGAAGTGACCAACTGAGTGAGTGAGAGGCAACTGAGAAAGAAGAGTTTGACTTCGCCCGTTTTACGCTCAGTCGAGAGACTAGCAAACTGAATACGTGAGGGTTTCGTGATTACTGGGCGGAGCAGGTGAGCGTGGAAATGAAGTAAAAGTGGTGAAAGTCACTACAATTACATCGAGAACAAATAGCATATATGAACAACATATTTGGAGATTTTACACCAATACAATACAGTCATTCTTTGAAGTTATGAAAAAATGTATGCCTTTTACCCATTAAACTATTCAAGTAAACTTAAGTCCACAGCCTAAAGCTATTGTACTGAGTTGATTGCAAGATATTTCACATAGTGCTGAAAAATAATAGAGATATTACAATAACTCAAACTCTAGAGATGATGGACAAATTCTGACTACATTTATGATATCAGCACCATCAAATTACTCAGAATCACTTGTGTTTTCCCCAATAACAAAGTTTGTGTTGTCCAGTGTTATTATAAAAATTCGGAAATTTCAGATAATGCTGTTTGTTGATGAATTTAAAAGTGATAAATGAATTGTACCAGTTTGCAACTTCAGAGAATGTATATAGAAGGTTCTGATTCGTGATTATTGTGAAAAGTGTCAGAAACCATACCAAGCTAGTTTATGTCACCATTTAAAACCGT